ACCTTGCGCGACAGGTGGTGCGATGTGTCGCACAATGGGTCGTAGCCTTGTACGATCGGTTGTAGTAGTCGTACAACGGGTCGCTAGGTCGCGCAACATATGGCGCTACAAAACGCATATATGTCGTGCGACTTGGTCGCATCATCGTTCAACCGTTGCAGCCGTTGTACGACTGTTGCACCCGGAAACATGAAAATAATCGCACGATTACGTCTCACGACTGTTGTATCCTGGTGCAGTGGTCGTTCACCTCTCGTACGATTTTATATATTGCTTGCGACTCAAAGACAACACTTCTACAACAGGACGGAAAAAAATATTTTCGAAAAAAAAAATTATCGCACGAGTGAGGCGCCAATTGTGAAAGAGACTTAAGCGCTTTCAGAGAAAAAGCTAGCAACACGTTTATTTGATTCCGCCATTTTAATTTTACCAAGTAATGTGTAGTTTATTTCGTGAGTTCTGATTGGGTGGTGCAAATGAGCATCTTATAATCGTTTGAGGGCGTGCGACATACAGTAAATCGTGGTGAAATCTGCCAAGGGTTAATGTTGAGATTTCGGCTTCGGTCATTGGCTGGCATTACACAGACATAATATGTACACATGTTGGTGGAAATCATGTAGTACAGCAACTATCTTGTTTAACAGACTATAGAACAAGTTTCTAAAATGTCTGTATGCTGCATCTCAATCTCGACAAGTTACAGAATGTCATGGTTACAATACATGTGACGCAGTAATAATACATCTGTTTACGCTAGATAATTCGCATAGACGAGAGTCGTATTTGACACAACCTATTTTCATGCAACTACATTTACAACAAAATGTATGCACAACAGAAAATGAGCACATTAGTTACATTGACAATTGTTTTTTTACATTTCAGGCAACTATTAGTTCTTTGGTAGTGACTTTTATGATCAAATAATCAACTTTTCCACCTTCCTTGGCGGCTTTTCGTTTTATTTAATTTTCGTTTCTGCCCCACCTTCTTAATGTTGCAGACGGGTTTTCGTAACATTAAAGGCAAATTCTCCCTTTCAAAATTGACATTCACACTTGGTTGTCATGGCGCTCAAAACATTCCCGCAGCTACATAATTACTACCTTTAAATGACATTATTGTTTTTTTTTGTAGATGACTTTTGTCTTTTCAGGTACGTTTTCTAAAGATAATGAAAGTTCGCATCATGCACACTGGCACTACTATTCAACCTGTCTGATTCCACACCTGAAAATCTTAATACGTGTTTAAATAGGGTATAACAAATATGGCAGCACAATTTTGTGAATTGACCACTGACCAATACTGACCTTGTGTTTTAGCGTAGCGGATCGATACTTTATTTAATTTATGCAACTATTCCGAAAGCTTGCCAAGAGCGCTGATGGATAAACTGCAACGCTGATCTAATCTAGTTCCGGTGTTTATTCATTAAAATGTTAACAAAACATAACAAAAAAAAAATGAATTGGCACTTGCTAGCAGATTGAAAGCATGTGTGAAGCTTGGTTATTTTTTGCATTCAAAAGTAGACAGCAAATAAACATGACGACATACTGCACTAGAATTATCGGAAACACAAGTTCGGCCAATCGAGACAGCTTGAAAGCTAAGATTAAATTGAGAAGTAAGTCACTATCTATGAATCTATTATCATTTTTTAATTAGCCTTGAAGTAAAAGTGAAACCCAAGAGTGCCAGAGAAATGACTGCATCCGTGGCTGACCTCCATCGTTGACCGTGGAAATCTAGACACAGGAAGTGTATCGGAGGTTTTATATAATTACTATTTATTTTAATTATTTACTATAATTATTATTTATTTTAGTCATTTTTTGCCGTTACAATTATTTTTCTGCAAGAATGGTTTTGTTCGTGAAGGCCCCGGGATCTGAACAACCCTCATAAAAACTCTCGTTCCAGTCTCACAATTTACGAGAAAAACAGCAGCCAATCAAATTCGTTGTAACATATGCAAGATTACGCAAGTGTAATTGTTTTTGTTATGGTCGCCATTTTGTTTTTCGTCAGCGTGAAGATTTCAGAGTATATTATGTATTTGTAGATTCGATTCTTGTTGAAAAAACGACAGACAACTTTGGTCAACTGACAGTGTATGTATGATATGATATTGTGAAAATTTAAGCAATTTTGTTTGATTTAGATCCATCATTACGAACGAATACAACCACTTTTTGTTATTTTGCGTCGGAGGTTAGCTGCAGTTCTGTAGCTCGCTTGGTTTCGCTGTCGGGTATTCGTTCGTCATGGTGTTAGCGCGAAACCAGAGAGCTACAGTTCCACCCTATGTGAGTTACCCTATTCATGGGGGTAATTTTTACCTAAATGCTCTATTTTACCGGCCTGAAATCAGGTCGGGCCGTAACAGCCGTTTTTTTTTACATTATTTTCGCCTCAAGTCTCTACTGATGTCGATGGATTCCGAAACTTTTTCATCAATTATTTCGAAGACAATGGTCCGAAATTGGTCGATTTCACGACGAAAACCGCGGAAAACTACAGCGAAATCCCCGTGTTTGCCGCCATCTTGAATAAGTTATCGGTGACGTAACGTGAATAGGAGCTGTAAATACAAGTGAACTAATTATTAATTTTGTTTCTTTTAGTTTCAGTTTGTTTCTGTTTGTTAGCTACTATGTCGTATGTAGTTTTGATATTAAAAAAGGAGTTTTTGAATAAAGCTGAAAACCTTGCCAGTGGATACACCAGAAAGAAGATTGTCCGGAATACAGATGAAATTATTGTTATGAAATTATTGTATTGAAAAATGGTTGGCTGTGCCCAGCAAAGCTGATATTATTGTTTTTAGCCTGTTAGAATCATTTGTTTTTTGTCAAAAAATAAATTGCAGTTGTATTGTCTACAAGGATCACCCTAGGTACATGGTTTTATAGTTCTAAATGTGTATAGGGAACAAAATATAAAAATGTTTTCACAGCATTTAAGACACATTGGCAATTGTTAATAATTTATTATAAAAATATGGGGACAGATCCAATAAAGGAAATTTAGAAATGAGGATAGAGAGATTGTGACCGACAGTATTAGTTGGATCCTAGTTTATTTTCTTTTTTCCTTGGTTAAAGATTGACAGTACTGGTAAACACTAGCCATTGTTAGATGCAGTAATACAAATTACTAGTAATTTGCGACTTGTGTATATTAAATAAAAAAGAATTAAAAAACATCAAAAGCTGGGTGGAGAGGTGTAAGACCTTGAGTTTGTTTTACGTTTGATCTAATCATGGAGCTTCAAGATCTACTGTAGCTTATAATCCAACAAACCAGGGTTTAGTCTAACCTGGATTTTACCCATCAAGCTTTGCACAATTTTAGTTTTTGTCTTGTAATTCAGGGTAGATAATCAAATGTACCTAATGTTTTCCTTTTAAATATCTATAAAAATACCCTTTTGGTTATAGGTATGCTAATGTTGTGTTTGTTCAAGTAAGCTGTTGTAAGGGTTAAAGTGGCCGAACAACAGGAAGTTCTCTGTCTGCCAAGCTTCAAATGACATAACATATTTAAACAATGTTTTATCAGTACTGTCTATCTTTAAATAATCTCCACAATTGCGACAAAACATATGCAAGTTATTGCAGCTTCCTGCTAAATATTAAATGACTTCAATCGTTAATTGCGTGAGTATATCAAGTTTTCAAACGCAATGTCCACAAAAAATTACGAAACGTCCACACAACACTGTCGACGCCATTTGACATTTATAGACAAAAAAAATCACAAATTCTGCGAAAAATCAAAACAATGACACAAATACTGCTATAAATCTGCTTACTATGTATTCATAGACAAAAAATATCGTAGATCAAAATAAGAGATAAAAAAAGTGATGTAACTCAGACGAAAATTGGCCGACTTGAATGCCATTACGAAAACACATGAAACAGTTAAATGCGAGCGCGTTCTGAAATCTTCGGGTTAACGTGTGTCAACAAACTAACAGCAAGTTCTGCCAAGGCACGCATGGTACGGGCATAATCTTTCTGAGAAGCTAAATAACCAGTCGGCCATCGAACGCAAAGTTACGCTGCAGGACAACAGCTACAAACAAGACAATATGCGAAGTATGCTAAGGAACAACGATTGTTTGTCAGTAACAATTACGAAATTAATCGAAACACGCATAAACCTACCTCGAACTTCACCTCTGCAGCAGTACATGTATGGTCAGCCATTTTTCTCATCTGGAGTTCTACGCTTGCGCAAAACATAAGTTTAACCGCTTTGTGAGACGCTCTGTGATTGGCTAAGTAAATTGTCTGGTTCAATCAATGCTGGAACAAGAGTTTCTATGCGGATTGTCCAGGTCCCGGTGGCTTTCACAAACAAAACCATTCTTGCAGCGAAATAATTGTAACGTCAACAAATAATTAAAATAAATAATAATTATAGTAATTATATAAAAAATATAAGCCAACCAGGATCTTATTTTAATGAGATTGGGCCGAATTTGACAAAAATGTTTACGCACGCGATGTAGATCTGCATTATGATTAGGCTGAATGAATGATTCCTTGGTTGGACTGAATAAATCTCTCTCCGTAAGATAATGGTCACATCCAAATTAAAATGTAGATTGCCAACTATCCCTGCTTACAACATCAATAATGGACAATATGTCACTGATTTCTACAATATACTGAGTTTAAAATAACTTGTTTTGTATGTATTTATGCTAAAATACTGGACGCCCAGTCTATTTACATTTGCCATATTTACATTTACCTGGTATCTCAGTATGTTTGACAGATAAAATCCTACATGGGTCGGGAACATTAACACAGGTTCTCTGTGAAGAAGATGGCACACGAAGATGAGAGGAATTCTGCAATGGCTTCACCACTACTACCAGCCACCCAAATTGATCAAAACTGCCAAGATTGCTGCCGTGTTATGTTTTCGCCACGATGCTTGTTGACTGTACAGTCTATGCACGGTGTTCTTTTGGCAATATTTGCCGCCATCTTGTATTCTGCTGCACATTATTGCATGCGATTGGTTCAAGAAGTTGGGGGTGTTGGGCCATTGCAGACGTCTTTCTTTATAAACATGGGGATGAGCATATGCATCATACCAATAATAATATGCAAGTCAATCAATATCATGGGTGAAAGTCACAAAGAACGAGGAATTTTAATAACAATCGCAGGTCTGTATACAGGATCACTACTTGCATTAGTAAAGGCATTAATACTGGGATCTATCGGCAATGTTACTGGAATTTTACGCGGAACAATGCCAATTGTAACACCTATACTGTCAATGATAATACTCCGTGAATCATATAAAATCGTTGACGGTTTAGTAACTCTAATTAGTATTTGTGGTATATTGCTGATGGCACGGGCACCAGAGATATTTGGATTGGAAACTCAGTTTGAAGAAGTGGATTCTCACGAACTTAGTGCGTATATGTTGACAGTATTCGCTGGTACACAGATGTCTCTCTGTGTTGTATTAATGAGGTATTCGAATGAAAATGTTCTTGTAACACTGTGTTGGATCAGTATGTTTGGTTCTTTGTCATTTTCATTTTTTACCATCATATTCGAAATACCAAAATGGGCTATGGATACAGAAACAGCATTGGTAATTGTGGGAATGATTATTTCAACGTTATTGGGAACAGTGTGTCGAATAAAAGCGCTTCATTTGATAGAAGCCACACCAGTTATTTTATTGTCGAACTTGCAAATAGTTGTAGCATTTCTGTTACAAACGTATGGGTTGCATGACAATCCTGATTTTTACTCTATTTTGGGGGCCGGTGTTATTTTACTCGGGGGGACAATATGTGCTGTAAACACCTGGTGGAGGGACTATCACCATAAGTGATATATATATATATATATATTTATATTTACAATTTTAATTTACAATTTTGTAATTGCGTTAAATTTCTGAGTAATAATATTCATATATATTGAGAACAATATAATTAAAAAAAACTGTTATAATTCATTTTTGGTTCAAAAATATTATTAATGGTAAATATATCCTATATGTATCCTTAACTATGTCATGTTTTTCTGCATACATTGTCCAATATGTATACTTTTGTTCAGAGTAGATACTGCCATTTTCGAATTTGACTATGGATACAGCTGTCATGTTGAAAAGTTTAATAATTCGGTGATAATCGGCCTTGATTGACACCGATTGACTTCCAAAACTTTTCTGAAAAAGTATATAATTTTTGATGTTTTATTCTGGTTTTAAGGGCAATGTCTAAATTGGGCTTCAATGTTTTTGACTGTTTTCATTTGACATGCTTAAATGATAATTGGATGTAATTATCATGAAAACTTAATATAGTCGTCGGAATATGTTTAACCATGAATGCATGTGTTGTACTTTAATAATGCATATATGCCTACTAATTTTATAGAGATAAATAAGTTATACATTTCGTAATATACAAAACGTATGTTTCTAAGAAAGCAACTTATCAAACATTAGGTATAGCTGTGGTGTCTGTCTTGACAAACGTAACCCTCTTTGCAAATTTATTTTAATGAAAAGATGCTTATTGTAATAATAATGGTAATTGGCACAAAGAGTGTTTTTTGTTACACATCTTATTTATTGTAATTTATATGTTATCTGCATTATCTATTTTACTTTGTTACTGAGTATGACTATATGACTTGCTATAATGTTTTATTTATTATATACTTTACATCAGGTTAAATCCCAATAATGAATGACTGTCGTTATTGTATTCTCAATTATTGGATACTTAACCAAGCTACTTCCTTATATGTAGTAATCGCTGTAATAAGTAGTACTTATTAAAAACAATATTTTATTTATTGTAATTAATGTTTATTTGCTAATGGTTGTGGTGATAACGTCAGTGAATTATTCAGTTTTTACTCTCAATTCGCCTCTGGTGTCGGGTAACAACGTTTTAGGCTTCTGTTTATTTCTTCAAAGCAATTTTATTAATCGTTATGTTTCATACATACATGATAACTGAATTAATTCAACCAGGTTATATTGCGTTTTATCAAGGTCCGAGTGTTGTTTTTGTTTGTGTGTACATTCGTCGTCTATATACATTGCGGCTTCTTGTACCTGCAAACATTTTGAATATGTCAGAATTGTTTGATTGTAGGATTGCGGAATATTGAAGCGGGAGGATCGTCACCTGCGCAGGCGCGGGAGTCCCAAGCGACGATATCAGCACACACTAAAACGCAAAGGCGCATGGACAGACGCTTGTTTGTAAACATTGACATGCTATGGCTATCTGACGCATGCGCAGGTAACGACTCCCCCGCTGTACTACAAACCATTGCAATAGCAGAGAACACTATTGATGTCGTCATTTGAAACTGGGCAGTACGATTTTTGCAATACAGCCCTTCACAAATTCTTTGTTTTGTTCAATATAATAATACAAAGATTGACCTTGGTCTATAAATTTGCCTACCCTAAGAAAGCACCAACAATGCTCTTTGGCTCGACAAATAAACATAAAAATAAAAAATGACTTTCGTTGCATTTGACAATGATAAACTTACCAAAAAGTTGTGTTTTCCCCCGTCTCTAACGTCGGTATAATCCGCCATTTTATTTGAGTGTGTTTGCCACCTGACTCTGCCAGATGATGCCATCCTGTGCGTTATAGAAGAAGGTCTGTGATTTGTTGACTAAAATCGTCGATAGTGGGTCTCGTTGAAATCTCTTCACATAGGCAGACGCTCAGATGTATGTAGGGCGGAATTAAAAAATATAACAAAATCAAAGTAAAATAATAAAATAAACACGGCAGAAATCGCGTGTTTCCGGTATGGTTACACAACGGTTACATGGCGGTTATGCAGTAAAACCGCTGCGTAACCATCGCGTAACCGTCGGACTATGGGGGTGGTATATCTGTCGCTACGTTTGTCGTCCATTCAGTTCAACGTAAATCAACGATAATTTCTGAAAAAATGCAGATTTTCGTTCAACGTTTATAATGTAATAACCACTGATTAAGTTGGACGGAAGAAATGTCAATGCATAAATATACGCCAATTTACGTTGAAACTGAAACAAAATTTACAGTGGGTAACCGATCATTACGTTAATGGTTTCCAGCATATTCTTGTGTTCTTCCATGTCATGTACGCAGAGTACGCCCATTGTAAATTATATTTATTTTGACGTTTTCCGGGAACTGCCTTATAATATTTATCCATACATTGTGTGTATAACCGTTTACAGTTTAAAATGTGCATTAGCTATAAGCGTTGCCAATATATAAAATTAGCCCAGATTCGTATATAGCGCCCTCGTACAGCTTGTTTTTAAATTGCTCGTTGGATACAATTACTCACGCGTCATGATCCCGCCATGACGACAAACACAGTCGTGGCTTGAAGATTGACAATTGATGTATGCGCACGCTATATACCTCACGAATAGAACTTCACAGATACGACCTCACGAATAGGACTCAAGAAGTGACTATTGATTGTTCACAGGCGTGGTGGTACATTACAGGGCTCATACCACTAATTGAATTTCCATAGACGACAACAGTAACATATGACAAGATTGCTATATGAAAATGATGAAGAAAGTTGAAAACATGGCTCAAAAATGGGAAATCAACATGCCAGTAATCAACCACATGAAAAAAACTAACATGTTGGCCAGCTCAAACTCTTGCAAATCTCAGGTAAACAAGACACACCTACTGCATTTACCAAGAGAAATCACTGATAAAACTGCAATATTAGAACATCCAAATAAACACAGAATAAACCCACAGGTACACAGCTGCTAAGTAGTGAACAAAAGACCACATGTTGGTCTCACCTTTGACCCAGGTGATTACGCCCTAAAGCAGGGACACCTACAAAATAATATTTAAACAATTTTATTGGTTCTTGTAAGGCATTTAAATTGAGCAGCCATTGGTTGATTAGTGGCATGATGCCGGGGCCATTAGTATCAACATATTTGGTATTTCGTAAATAAAAACTGAGCTCGCTACTTGGACTCGGGTTGCACACAGTCGGATAGAGGGACTGTGGGCCGCAGCAGCAAGGGAGTGTTTGGTTATTATTGAATGACCGGTGATTTGCGGTGCTACTATTCGTTGACTCGCGCCATTATATTCCTGAGCACAAAATGTGTTTTCAGGCCTTCGAGTTCCAGTTAAGTTTTCAATAATCAGATTTTTCGATACTTTGTCAATATTGGAGAGTGACATGTTTACTGAGAGTCATGTGCGTACTCGCGGAGTACTGATGACAACAAATAATGATGCTCGCAAGATAATTCTAAAATAAAACAGTGCTCGCTTATATTTATAAATGCGTGGGTTGAAGAGAACTGTGGTGTTACCTAAATTTAGCTTTGATAAAACAGTGTTTAGATTTCCAAATAACCCAGGTGACAGTATACTCTAAAATATATTACATAAATTATACATGAATTAGTCTTTATAGACTAAAAATTATTTGAATAGGCCATTAAGTAAGTTTCATGTTTTAATGCTAAAATGTAATTATTTACGTACAACACACTTATATAGAACTCTTGCTATTACAGAGAATGGCATTTTCCAGCACACGAACAACGCTTTATAAATGCTATCCGAGTTCAAATTTTAGTTCAAATGACAGCAGTGTGATGATACCATTAAAGCAAATTTTTTATTTGCAAAATCTATGTCGAAATATGTATATTTTAATAGCTGTTCCAAACCCCGCTTCTTATTTAAATTAGAAAAGGTTTTAGAACTCCATTTTGAGTAAATTGTACTGAAATAGATATTAAAATTTCGACATTTTGATGAAGATATGTTGTCATAATGAGACATAGTTCTACGTTACACTAAAAAGAGGGCTTAGATAGTTCGAAAAGATAACTCCGTAGCGCACCTATTACTACTAGTACCTATTCCTCTCCAACGCAACTTGGTAGTGAACCCCTTTCATCCGCAGTGAATCGTCATTCAAGGATGTAGCCCTGCATATTGTCTGTATTTTTGTTGTCTATTTAGTACATTAAATGAAATTGGATAATGAGATGATGAATTCCACGTCTTTGTTTTACTCATTTAATGAAATATACATTGCACTTACTACTGAATCAGAAAAGACAACAACAATTACATAAAAAAGCAATATAAAGTACTGTCGCATACGACTTATTTACCACTTCCGTGTCACTGAGAATGTTCTAGAACCGTACTGTGTCTGGGTGGAATATTCTAGA